ATATTAGACATAGCTGACATATTAGATATATTAGTTATATTTTTCTATATAATATATTTTATATAAATAGGTAACTTATTAATTCATGTAAAAGGAGGAAAAGATAGCTTGAGTAGTTTTAGCAGTGAGTGAGATATTATTAGCTGACGTAGGTAACCAATTCTGAAGGTCTATCACATTATATTACAGTTTAGAAGCAACCAGGCCTATCACGTTATATTACAGTTTAGAGACAACTAGGTCTATTATATTATGTTATAGTTTAGAAGCAATCAGGCCTATCACGTTACATTACAGTTTAGAGGCAACCAGGCCTATCATGTTATATTACAGTTTAGAGATAACCAGGCCTATCACATTACATTACAGTTTAGAGGCAACCAGGCCTATCACATTATATTACAATTTAGAGGCAACTGGCCTATCGCATTACATTTTAATTTTAGTATTACTCTTCTTTTCTTTTCTTTTTATTATTTTACTCGTGAATAAACACATTATTTATAAATATAATTTACTGGTAATCTGTTAAATTATAACTCACTGTAATCATATAAATACTTTTGATAAATCATCTGGATTAAAGCTACAAACCGTTGAAAGATTACTACTCAATTAAAAAGAATAATTACTCAAACATCCTGTCTAACAGTCGTAGTTCGCAAGAATTACATGTTAACAATACTTAGTTTATTATTAAAACTATATGGTTTAAAATTAGAGTATCATTAGTTTTAATACTTATGACTTCTAGTGTTTTGCAAAATCAGATCAGATCAGATTTTATTCAAATCTAATCCAATTTTCATTTTTTAGGATCTGAATCTGATCTAAATCTGACAGATCGAATCTCAAATCTGGATCTGACGGATCAGTTTAAGTCCAAATCTGATTCTATCTGAATCTGAAAGTATTATTAAAAAAATGAATTTTCAGTTTTAAAAGAGATCTGAAAATGTTTTTTTTCAATGAAAGAAACCTTTTTGGCTCTAAAAGAGTTCTGAAAAGTCGTTCCTTTTCATTAAAAAGAACCTTTTTAGCTCTAAAAGAGTTCTGAAAAGTTGTTCTATTTCAATAAAAGGAACTTTTCGGCTCTAAAAGAGATCTGAAAATTCATTTCTTTTCAATAAAAGAAACTTTTTGGTTCTAAAAGAGTTCTGAAAGGTCATTCCTTTTCAATGAAGAGAACTTTTCAGTTCTAAAAGAGTTCTGAAAATTCGTTTCTTTTCCATGAAAGAAAACAAATTTTTAGCTCAAAAGAAGTCTGAAAATTCGTCCCTTTTTATTGAAAAGAACCTTTTCAGCTCTAAAAAGTTCCGAAAAGTCATTCCTTTCTATTAAAAGGAACCTTTTCAGCTCTAAAAGAGTTCTGAAAATTCGTTCCTTTTCAATGAAGGGAACTTTTTAGTTCTATAAGAGTTCTGAAAATTCATTTCTTTTCAATGAAAGGAAACAAATTTTTGGCTCAAAAGAAGTCCAAAAATTCGTTCCTTTTCATTGAAAAAAACCTTTTTGGCTCTAAAAGAGTTCTAAAAAGTCATTTCTTTTCATTAAAAGAAACTTTTTCAGCTCTAAAGAGTTCCAAAAAGTCGTTCCTTTTTAACAAAAGGAACTTTTCAGCTCTAAAAGAGTTCTGAAAATTTGTTTCTTTTCAATGAAAGGAACTTTTTAGCTCTAAAAACATTCTGAAAATTCGTTTCTTTTCAATGAAGGAATTTTTCAGTTCTAAAAGAGTTCTGAAAATTCGTTTCTTTTCAATAAAAGGAAACAAATTTTTGGCTCAAAAGAAGTCTAAAAATTCGTTTCTTTTCATTGAAAGAAACCTTTTTGACTCTAAAAGAGTTCTGAAAAGTCGTTTCTTTTCATTGAAAGGAACTTTTTCAGCTCTAAAGAATTCTGAAAAGTCGTTCCTTTTTAATGAAAGGAACTTTTTAGCTCTAAAAGAGTTCTGAAAAGTTGTTCCTTTTCAATAAAAGGAACTTTTTAGCTCTAAAAGCGTTCTAAAATTCGTTCCTTTTCAATAAAAAAACTTTTCAGTTCTAAAAGAGTTCTAAAAATTCATTTCTTTTCAATGAAAGAAAACAATTTTTTGCTCAAAAGAAGTCCAAAAATTCGTCCTTTTTCATTAAAAAGGAACTTTTCAGCTTTAATTCAGATCTGACGGATCAGATCTGAATCCAATCTGAATCTGACAAATCAGATCTGAATTTGAATCTGAATCTGACAGATCAGATCCGATTTGAATTCGAATCTGAATTAAATCTGAATCTAACAGATTCGATCTGAATCCGATCTGTCAGATTCAAATTAGATTCAGATTGATCTGAATTCGTGCGAAACACTACACATATCAGATAAGTCATCTATAAAATTGATCATTCTTCTGCATCACATAAACTGCGTCACATTTACCTGTTCACAGTATTCTATATATTTTTAGATTCAGTTTTATCTAATAATGAGTTACTGATCAAAGAATTAGCATATTTAAGGTTTATATTTCTGATTTAATTAATATCAATCTCAATTCTATTTTGAATGTTAAAAAGTTTTTTTATATATAAAAAAAATAATAAGTATTAAAGATGGATTTTATAAGTAAATATTAGTAGTTTATGATGGTATCCTATATTATTATAATATAAAATTGAAAGAGAAGTTTTAGCTGATACTTATACTGGAACAATTATATAAAGAAATGAATATGTATTAAGCTTTTATAGAATTAAACTGATAAGTAATAATTCAGAAATTTTATTCATTAATGCTTTTATTTACTTTATTTAGTTTATATTAAAAAAATTGATATAAAATAATTTGTAATATGTTATAGTTATTAGACAGATAATTAGCTTTTCTATTTCAAGAAATGTGTAGACTACCATAAATCTTAGGATTCTATTTGTGAATTTATATAATCATATATAAAAAATAATTCTGACTTATTAATAGAGGGATAATTTGCATAGTCAAAGAATAGCAAAAATCGCTTTATCAGATAAAATGTGAATAGGTCAATATTAAACTTTTTTATTTTTACTAATACTAATTTTATTTTATTATTTATTATATAGACTTTTGTTTATCTTCAAGTAATAATTAACTATAGAAAAGCTATAAAAACTAATAATCCTTTATTAAAGAAAGCTGCTAGAAGAATATTTTCTCCTATTTAGATCATGAAATAGCATTCTATTTACTGCCTAATTGAAGTTGCTGATGAAGTTCAGTTGATGCAGTTTTGTCTAGAAGTATATGACCTTATAGAGAAAAATTGTATTATTTTTAAATCAAGAATTTATGAATAGCATTAAGGGCTAGATACAATTTTAGAGGAGATAAACTAGATTTTAAAACTTTAATATCTCAAGTATTACAATATTATCATTAAAAAATTACTGCACATAATTGCAAAAAGTTTCTTAAGGTATATGTAATACCTTTATTTTAATTAACTTAATTAATAAATATTATTAATTTTAATTTTTAAAAATTTAGCTAAGAAATAATTTACTTTAAATAATTGGATATAATGATTATCAAAATATTAGATTAAGAACTTAACTAAAATCATCAATAGAATGCCAAAGATTTTGAACTTATTTACAAAATCTGAAATTTATAAATCAGAGTCTAGAAGAATATGAATTAAATAAAAATTTAAAAAATTTTATCTTATTTAGCAAAACAAACTTGACAAAAATTTATTACTGAAGTATTTATTAATAAAAATAATCTTTCTTTATTTAGGCTAATACTAATTACAAAACAAAAAGTAAAAGTTCAGAAAAGTGAAAAAAATATAATTAAACTTGAAATTTTGCTAAGGATAGAAACTACTTCTTGAACAGCTTGACAAAAATACTTATAAAAAATATTCTGAACTGAAGTTGAAAAAATGAAGTAAATTGTTATGTATATTATAAGAGGTAATCAAATTATTAACGAAGATTGTTTAAAATAAATTTTTTTTTATTTAGACATTTTTAACAGTTTCTAGTAAGTATTGGTCAAAAGTTTATATAAATATTGGTAAATAGATATCAGATAACATTAATATCTTAAAATTATAAAAAAAATTTTAATACATGTATTACAGTTTTCAAAATAAAATAAAATTCTATTTAAATTTTTAATTTTTAACCAATCATTTTCGATTTGTAATAGTTCTAGAATATTTCAATCTGCAAAATTATTACTATAAAAAGATTTGATCAATGGGATATATTTGGTATATTTTATATTTGTAATTTTTATGACGATCAATTTTGAACTAATCAAAATTAATAATTATTTCAAAAATAATCATCCAAAATTCAACCAATAAAATTGCAGATAAGTTAAATGTCTATTAGGCTTGTTCATTTCCGGTCGGTCAGTTTTTTCATTTAGTTTTTATTAAATTTGGTTGGACTGATCTTTTTGTATGACGTGAACTAATTCTGAACTTTAAAAACAAAAAAATTGGCGTTTTTTTAATTCAAAAAAATAACGCATCACGTCAACCAACCAGAAGTGTGAGAAACAAAAATTGTCAAAATGTTTTCTCGCTAAGTTGACGCTAATGGTTTTCAAGGTTCTCAAAGCTATAAAAATAACTAAAACTTACGAAAATACAGATCTTTAGCTCAAAAGTTATCATATACTCAAATGGTTGATAGCTCTTCTCAGCAATTTTTAAATTTCCAATTAACATCTAAGTTAGATACTCAAGTATTAAACTAAGTATTCCGATGGTAGCTGCTGATATAAACACTCAAGTAATAAAAAGGTCAAACATTATCGTTGATACTACTACAAGGGAAAGACTAAATAATTATGATTCATTGCATAAAACTAATGTTCTTCAGCCTAAGGAAAATACTGGTTTTTTGTTACATGATGTTAATTCTGAACTTGATTCCCGATATCAAGAGATTTTGATTAAGAGAACTTAATGATGAGGATAAAATCTCAGCTTTTATAATTAAGTATTTTGGTAACTGACTTTGAAATCAATTTAGGATTTGGAAAAAGTGAAGAAATTAAGACAAGAAAAGAAGAAGCGAAAAATTCTGATGATTAACCTCAAACTATTGATAGATGGAGTGATGACGAAACATATAAACTATTGATTTATCTGGAAGATAATTTCAATAAATATCAGAAGGGAAAAAAATCTGAATTTTATGCTTTGGTTTTCAGAGATATTATTAAATTAAAAACTGCAGAAAGTATTAAAAGGCGATTGAATAGACTTTTGGAAAAGTATGGCAAAGTGAAGCAAGAAAACAATTAAAGTGGATCAGGACGAGTTGACTGGAAATGGATGGATATTATAGATAAAATTTTCAGATATTGCGAAAATGTTTCACTTTTATATCTTTCAAATAAAAAATCAGGTTATATCAGTGATGAAATGAATAATAATCAAAATATGAAGGGTGAGAAAGGTAATTAAAAAAAAGAAAAATAATATTGAATCTTGGTTTAAGGTTATGAATAACATCAGTGAAACAAAAATTAAAATCTCTGAACAAAGATTAGAATTAGAACGAGAAAGAATGAATAATGATTTCAAACTTTAATCACAAAAGTTAGAAGTTGAGAGCAAAAATGGGAATATGAGCAGGAACAATCAAAGATGCTGCATGAATTAACAATGAAAAAATTAGATTTACAGTTAAAGTAATGTAATAAACAATAATAATAGTTAGTAATAATAGTTAGTAATAATAGTTAATAATAATAGTAATAATAATAAATA